GAGTTCCTGAGCCCTGATTTGGGGTCCATATAGGCCAAGCCGCACAATGACAATTCATGTTGAAATACGGTAGCTAAATAAAATTTTGAAAATAAACCTCTGACTGAGAGCAGGACCGCCAGACCAATTGTAGGTCTATGCAGAATGAACTCGCTCATGATGAATGCCTTCCTTTTCCATTGGTTCTTCCTGGAATTTAGTTGCCTTTGGAATTGGTAAAAATTAAACCATGGCTATAGGTCTTTGATGATATGAAGTGGGGAAAGTTCAAAAATTTGGACAGGAAAACGGGAAAGAAGAGGGTAGAAAGGGTCAGAGAAAAGCCGGGAGGGAGGGAGGAAAGGGGGGAGAGGGATGAGACAGCCGATGGAGGGAAGGAGGGGGAAAGAATGTGACTATAACAAGTAGGATAACAAAATGTGGCTGGGGGGGCTAGAATGAAGCCTTTGTCAGAGTAGTCTGCTACTCGCTGAGATAATGGGCTGAAATAGCTCCAGTCCCTCCCCTGCCTGCCCTTGGGGTTAAACTGGCTCTCAGTGTTGGAAAGAGGGCCCATGAGAAAAGTCAAAATGTTTATTTTAGCAGAAGCGTTAATCTTGTGAGAAGGCAAAGTCCCTGAATGGGGAGATTACCACCAAGAGCGATCTGGACAAGGGGGTGGCCAAGCGAGTGGCTCCTCCATGGTTCACACGCGAGCCGCAGGTTCCTCAGCGCTCTGCTCACAGTGGTGGAGACGGGAGCAGGGAGCAGTCTTCCCAGAGATCACTTTGACTCAGCTAAATGGACTGAGGACACTATTTAAGAAGAGTATTTCTCTTGGCTTCATTTATTTGTACTAGATTTTTTTTTTAAACAATAGTTGCTTTATATTTTCCCAATGAATTTCAAATACTTCATAATATAGTGTTACCTGTATCGAATGTTCGTTGCGTGATCAGGTTCATGGAATTATGTCCTGCTGAAAGGAAAGAGGCCATGGCCGTCTTCTCCATCAGGGACAATGCAGGCAAGGAAGTTAGGTTTGGTTCCACATGCTCAGTTCCTCAGTTTCAATTGTTCAGTTGTCACAGGCCACTCAACCAAGACATACAGTTTATTCATTAAGAGAGCCTGTATTCTGTGCCTGCTGTCAGTACAGGTATTGAAAGAAATCACATTGGTCCACTTTGACCCCAGGTGGAGCTGGAAGGGAGAGTCACCTGAACAAGGTCTGTGAATGATGTCACTGTGTGAATGATAGCTTTTTCCTCCCTTCCTTTCTTTCCTTCTACAGCTAATGTCTCCCTGCCCCCAAACCCTCTCCTTTGGGTACTATCAGAGTAACCTCACATCTGTTTGTGGGTCTATGGCTGGGTAACTGAAGCAATATTTCTACAAAAGAATAACTGTTTCTCAATATTTGCTCACAGTCCCTGGCACACAGCAGGAAACATTCACAAACATTTCTATCATGAGTGAATGTAAATAAATGAGTGTTTGAAAATTCAATATTTGAGAATGTGTTGGGGATTTTTCATAGTGGGCAGGGGAAGTTTGGAAACAAAGCCAATATTCATTAAAATTACAGGCAATGATTTGGACAGATAACAAATGTCAAGATTCAGAGGGATGGAGATAGGGTGGAAATAGTAAACAAACTTTAAAAGATGAAACTTAACACTCAACCAAGCCCCTTCAAGATGGGAGAGAAATGGTTTAACAGCGGCATGTGTAAATATAGCTAAATTTTCCCTCGGCTGTGTTATGTGAATGCCAGAAAGGCTAATGAATTCTGGGTGAATTTCCTATGCTTCAACAGAAACATACAAAAAGAAAAAAAAGGGAAGCAATCATTTTACTATAGTTTGAGATGGTACCCTGTAGACAACCAGATAAAGAGATGTCGGGGAGTGCAAAAGTGGTGAGTTTTAGAAACCTTGGTACAAGTGCCATTGCCACTGTGGCTCAGATGGTTGGGCATGGTCCTGTGCACCAAGGGTTTGCTGGTTCAGTTCCCAGTCAGGGCAAATGCCTGGGCTGTGGACTCACAGCCAGTCAATGTTCTGCTCTCACATTGATGTTTTTCTCTCTCTTCCTACTCTCCCTCTCTCTCTAAAAATCAATAAAAATTCTTTAAAAACAAGAAACCCTGGCACAAGAGGAATATTATTAGCCTTGGTGAAGGTGATGAGAGGGCTGGAAAGCACTAGATAAATACTTAAAAGGCTGTTAAGTGCACCCAATGGATGACACGTACTCTGGTGGTTCTAGCAGATGAAACCAGAAAGAGTATATAAAAATTGCAAAAAGACAGGTTTTAGTCCAATGTACAAAAGAACTTTCCAGCAGAGTTGCCTCTCTAGGGGCTGGAGGAGTGGGTTTCTCAAGTTAGATATATTCAAGAGAGGCTGCATGGCTCCTTAGTGAATAGTTTCTATTGAGTTACTCTAGATAAAAGTCTCTTTTAACTCTGTGGCTGTGATTCACTTGCCATGTTGTAAAATAAAGCCACCTCGCATGAGAGATGAGAAAAGCAGTGCAATGTCTCTAAAGTGGAATGGCCATCCGTTTCCACCAGGGCCCGTGGGGCACAGCAGTCGGCAGCTGTCCGAGGTGCTGGAGCGAGTTGCCCCGAGTAGGCAGCTCTGCTCTGGTTTTCGTCATGCGTGTGTGGGTATGTTTTAATGTCTTCTGGAATTTGGGCTTTTCTGCTTCTTATATAAATCTATTAACACCCTCCCCACCCCCACACACATCAGGGCTTTAACTAAAGCAGAGAAATGCACAGAAATTGTGTAAAACAGCTGAGCTACCTGAGGCTTCCTCTGCCCTGTGCCAGGAAAACATGAATCCATTTTATTTTCCAAGGTTCGGCTTCCTACTTCAAGTTGGGCTGTTTGACTGGATTGATATTTAGAGTTGAAATGCATTGTTTTGAGACCATTGTACAGGTTTGCTTTTTGATTTATTTTATGCTTTCTCCAGAACACACTTATCCTGAGTGGAGATGAGAATCTTAGGCAGAAAATTATTTTTACACTGAGGTGGAAGGAACACTAAATATTTCAGATAAACAGCTCTGAAGCCTTAGCTATACCCAGGAGTGGTGTGATGGGGATAAACCTGTCCTGTTCTCCACTATTTTTGTTGTTTCTCCTACGCTACTTGATTTTTGTTTGTTTTGTCCCTTACTTGTTTCCCATCTATAAAATGGAGACAATAGCACCACTCCTTAGGGTTGTGAAAACGAGTTAATACATGTAAAGAACTTACAACAATGTCAGATGCATACATAACAAATATTAGTGTTAATATAGCTTGTATTGGGGTCCTTAAGACCACCCCCGGGTTTGATGATTTGCTAGGACTCACATGCCCCAGAAAAGCTGTCATACTCACTGTTACGGTTTGTCACAGCAAAAGCATAGGGATTAAAATCAGCAAAGGAAAAAAGGTGCATTGGGTGGAGTCCAGGAGCACTGGACCAGTTCCAAGCTTCCAGTTGTCCTTCCAGTGGAGTCACACGAACAGAGCTTAATTCTCTCAGCAATGATGTATGACCACTTGTACCAAGGCTCACCAATCAGGGAAACACACCCATGCCTTGGTGCCCAGGGCTTTTATGGGGGGAGCAGTCACACAGGCGTACGGTGTGTGTGTGATCAACCTCAGCTACTTTGTCTTCAGCTCCTCCTCCTCCCTCTCCCCCCCACAAGAGGTCAAACTAATACAGGGTGACCCAAGGCCCAGGCATATAAAAACAGGCAATCAGTATAAATTACATTGCTAGCATACTATACGGCATAGCCCAAAGTCTCAGGTATACAAAGACACTTTTATCAGGAAGGAGACCCTAAGGGTTTAGAGGAAGCAGGTAAGAGACCATCCTAAGCTCTTTCGAATGTGGGTGGTTTGGGCAACTCAAGCTTATTGAGTTCACCACTTACTGCACGTCTGTAAATTTTGCTTGCTTGTTTGAACCATCAAGTTCAACCATTTCCTTATTTCTTTTTGTTTAAATCCCCACCCTAGGATATGTTTATTGATTTTAGGGAGAGAGAGAAAGATGGACGTGAGAAACTTCGATTGGTTGCCTCCCATTCGTGCCCTGACCGGGGGATGAACCCACAACTTCTTTGGTATATGAGATGACGCTCCAACCAACTGAGCCACTTGGCTGGGGCTCAACCATTTTCTTAATGTTTGGAATGATTTTCTTTTTAGTGTGTGAATATTTATTGAATGTTTACCGTGTGCATAGCTCTTATAACTTTCTCTCTCTAAGCTGGCAAATAATTTCAGTTTCAATCCATGTTATAAACTCAGGAAAGAAATGGTTATTGCTACAATATGAAAGGACACATCAGAAACTAAAGACCACTACTGTAATTGCAATAATGATGATAATGGTGTGCTCCGTGCAACTGTAAAGCATACGATGGTGTGCCTTAACCACAATTACATATCAAAATGCTTTATGTATATTAGTAGAGTCGTTATCAACAACTGCGGTAATAGTTCTATTTTACAGGTGAGAGAATAAAGGTCCAGAATTTTAAAACTCCTCAGCCAGTAATGGGTAGAGTCTATATTTACCATGTGATTCCAAAGCTCATGGTCTTAACATTATGCCTGACAGTGTCCTATGACTTTGAGAAACAAAGGCTCTAAAACGTATTTTGAAAGAGTCAAAACCCAACAACATTCATGTGACTTTATACATCTCAAGATCCACAGAATGTTTAGATGCTGGGGTAGAGTTGTGGCTAGAATACACGTTCATTTTACCAGCAGATGAGTTTTCTGCAAGAAGATTCCAAGAAGCCGCTCCCCATGAAAATGTGGTGTAGAAGCCCCCCAAAGTAAGGCAGACAGAGCTACAAAAAGGGGGAAATTAGTTATTTTGAATGTCTTGATTAATAAGGGGAACATAAAAGCTAAATGCCCTCCAAGGTTCCAAAATTGTTGCCATCATGAACTGTTTGTAACCACATCTCTTTCCTTCCTTCCCTTATTATTAGATCTCAGTCTGTGGTAGAAGCTGGGACCCTGAAACATGAGGAGAAGGGAGAAAATGAGAACACTCAGCCACTCCTGGCTCTGGACTGAACCCTGAGATGCTCCATGTCCCCCACATCGCCAGCCGTGGGCGGTATCAGCCACCCAGGAAGCACATGCGCAACTGACCCACTTGGACACGTGCATTCGGCTTGACACCAGGCACGCCACTCCTGCCACCCAGTAATGACTGTCACCAGCCATTGGTCGGAGCAGCCAAAGTTGAACAAAGACTTGAGAGATGTGTTTTTTCCAATGAGGGCATTGGATGAAGGACAAAGCAAGGCAGTTATGTAAACAAGACTCCCCTCCCCCCCACATATGCTGTTAAATGAATTGGAAAGAGAAAAACTAAATTTGATGCACACACCACATTAGAACAAGGATTTTTCTGAGGCATCTCACAGAGACCTCCTCCGGTTTTTGTAATCTGAGATCAAGTGCATTTCCAAGTAGATATATCAGAATTAAACTGCGCAGACACAACTGTCAAGTTTAATGTAGTGCAGAGCCCCGAGACAATGGTATCTCCAGTAATTTCCATTCTTATTGAATTACTTTCTTTGACCTCATCACCAGCATCAAGTCATCCAGCCTAAGAGCAAGTTCTCCGAGGTCTGGCTATTTTCAGAGTTTCCTTAGTTTGCTATCCGGCAAAAATGGTTTTGACATCACATCTTTTGTCAGGCTACCAGCTGATGATCATGAGCTGATTTTAAAAGAAGGCACACAACGTGAAATATGATTATTTCATCTTATCAATGTGACTTCCACCGGCAACGTGTCTGCAGGTGGGGGGGAGGTCCCATTGGAAACACATGTCAGTGATTAATAAATCCATTCATGTTGCCTCACTTGGGTCACTACAGCAAAGAAAAGTGCCACTAAAGCATTTAATGCCCAACCCACCACCCCTGCAACCAGTGAAAGGTGTAGAGGAAGGGCTTGGCTGTTGCTCAGCGGGTAGGTATCCAATCTTGGAGGAAAACCCTTAAGGATGGCTGAATATGCAAGGACTGAAAATAAAAGACTAGGAATGCAGGATGAAATGCCAAAGATCATTGTATTTCTCTGTCTATTCTCCTTAGAAATGGAGGCCCCAACTATCCATTCAAAGGGAATTAGATAAAATTAAAGATATCATAAGACATGATATCCTTACTTGTGCCATATTTTCCCAAACCAGCTGTATGTTTTTAGATATCTCCTATTCTCCCAGGCATCTGCATGACATGGCCATTCATTAATATGACCAGTGGGTGCTCAAAGTCCAATAAAAATATTTTAGTTCATAATGGGCAGTAAAAATATGATTTTATGTTTTAAGGATTTGTGAGGGTTAATTGGTTAGCTAAAACATTCAAAGGAAAGAGGTGATTCAACTGGCCATAAACCACCTTCAATGGATATTATTATTAATAATTTTTTTCTACTGGTAGATAATTAACAGAAGTAATTTTTGTATTCCACCCTTGAAATAAAATTGAAATAGAATTAAAAATATTTCTCAATCAATTGCATCACAGTATTAATAAAACCAATTCATTTTGTGTAGACATTTCAAATAACAAAATAATACTGAAATAATTCTTCCAATGCGGTGACTGAAACACTTTTCTTATATACCATGACATAGGGAAGAAAGATGAAGAATTGAAGTGAATTAGAAAATCCATTTTATTACTTGGTTTTATAAGGTGGTTGTGGAATCCAAGTACTTAAAATTCTATTGGAGTCAATTTTTGCCAACCCCTTGCAACAGTAATAACAATTCTGGCTTTTCAAGTGGCAATATTTAGAATACTGTAGTGACCTGATTTTAAATACCATGTTGTAATTACTAAGTTAAGAGCTAGTTTTTACTCTATTCCATGATTTCATTACATGAATGTAAGATGATGGTTCAACAATGACAATTTATACTTTGAATTTCTTTATGTGTATGCAGTATACATACAAGAACCAAATTCTGTAAGTGACACGAACGTTACCACATGAGCACTGGATCGTATTGTCTTTTGTCCATCATTTCCTCTGTTCAATAAATACTGAAGGACACAAATACCTTTTCATTTTTCAAGAGTTTACTTTTTCTTCTGGACTTTCGTAATTAATTTTGATATTTTTCCTCACATACTTCATCTATTTTAGTGAGTTTTCTGAACACTGGCAAAAAAGAAGGGCGCACACAAAAAAATATTTTGCAAACTCATCTCTTGGAAGCTAATGTGCTTTAGAACAAGCAAAAGAGGTTCATTTCACTTTTGAAGAACTGTTTTTAAAATGAGATTTAAAAAAAAAATCCTCCTTTGTCCTTGGATGGAAAAGAAGGCACAAGTGTTTTTCCATCTGTGAATGACATTTGGTAACCTATATGTCATTTTTCCAGCATTTTTGTTCATATTGGCTTCAGTGCATTAATATTATTACATTCTTACAGCTAACATTTCTAGTTAGCTTTAATCTTAAAAACAAAATTTAATGCATTAATAATCTACCAAATTAATGACTTGGTCATCTTTGGAAGGAGTAGACAAGACCATTTGTCAACAGTTATTTCTATGCAGTGGGTAATATTAAAGCTAAACTAAGGATAATAATTGCTATTTCAAAGTGACGTTTAAGTGGCAGAAGTTTCTCAAGCCAGGGAGCTGGAAGAGTCTTCCAAACTCTTCCAAAGAGGAAAGCAATCTCGGCATCCTACACCCAGGACAAAGACACTGGCATTCCTGCTCTTCCACTNTAATTGCTATTTCAAAGTGACGTTTAAGTGGCAGAAGTTTCTCAAGCCAGGGAGCTGGAAGAGTCTTCCAAACTCTTCCAAAGAGGAAAGCAATCTCGGCATCCTACACCCAGGACAAAGACACTGGCATTCCTGCCATCCTTCATGGTTTTGCAAAATTGTGATGGGAATCCTCTCAAGGATTCTCTCACTCACATGGATCTACAATAGGCAAAGACACTCTGGATTCCAGACCTGTCCTATGGGCAGCAGTGAGGCCGGAGCCAGAGGTCCTAGCAGCCACCTATCTACCTGATCCCGAGAGAAAATTTTTACTTGGAAAAATTTTACTTCTTTTTTTCCCCAGCCCTAACACTTGGCATTAAAAAAATTTTACATGTGGCATCTTTACAACTCAATATAAAATGATTCTATGTCCCCTTTGAGCATAAAAGCTTCCCCTTAGAAAGAAATGCCATTTTGACAGATCTCCACCATTCGCAAGGCAAGGAGAGAAATGAAGACACTGGCTCTAGATGAAGATAAAAAGGCAAGCGGACTGAATGGGTGGGAGCTGCACAGTTCACACACACTGGCATAATTACAGTTTCCTCCTTTGTGTTAGGAAATTGCTTCTTTCATGAGTGTCTTTGCCTAAAAATAATTAAAAGAGGGAAGTCTGAGTTCACCAGGAAAGTTACCATTAAAAAGCTAGAAGTGAAGCATTTACACAGCTTGTCATTAAAGTCAACAAAAAAGCAGTGGTATAAGAGGACAAGAATCATCCAGCTACCCTAGAAAAATATAATTGCATAGAAAAATTACAAGCTCAAGCGAGCCATTCACAGTTTCTACATATGTTCTCACTGTACACTGATTTAGCCTATTCTAAGTGGAAAATACATCTTTGGCTGGTAAGGTAGAAGCTATCATGTGTTTACCTGAAATACAGGCACCAGATTGGTGCTGTGATGGGCTGAAATACAGCAGGGTATTTTCTAAGTGAATTGCAGCAAGGCAAATATTCCCTTTAGTGTCTTCTAACCATAGGAGGAGGTTTAGAAATCTTCAGGCTGCAAATCCAGGAAACGAAGGGCGTTGGTGCTCGAACTTCTATCCCCACAGCCGAGGAGCCAGAGCCAGAAAGGCAGCCTCTCTCCAGTGAGTCCCGAGCTCGCACGACGTGCTAAATTGCAGGCAGGCTTCGTCTCTGCTGGGGCGTCAGCTCTGGGTGCCACACATCCACGATGAATATCAGCCGGAAAGAGGCGGCGTCCTGCCACACCTCGTGCTCAAAGGAGTCGTCGAAGATGAGCACCTTGCCTTCTTCCCAGGTCCTGGAACAGAAATCAAGGATGCTGTGAACCCGATACAGGCGGGAAGGCCCTCTCATGGCAACCTCTGCAATATGACCAGTCAACTGAGCCACCAAGCCAGGACTTATTCTGTCCTTGGTGATTAAGAAAGAACTTCAGGATTCTTACCATGAACATCAATCTCCAATGCTCGGCACTGAAGGTGTACAAAGAGCAGGACACTGGTGATAAGAACATGCTTATTCCTGGTAGAAACCTAGGCCAGCCTTGTTTAGTCGGGCAAGCATTCAGACGCCTGCCCCCGTGGCCCATGCCCAGGCTGCCTTTCTGGTCAGTGGCACCACAAATCCTCCCTGGTGGTTCAGAGATGAGTTTAGATCTACACACAGCGACCAGCTCTCTGGCTTTTCTATGCCCCTGGGATATCTGGCAGGGTGTCTGACTCCTCTAGAGCAAAACAGAAAGATCACTGGGGTCGTTTTTTCAGAAAGGGGGGACTCTTTGTACTGCTGAATAATTCAGTGGTAACTCAATACGAACAATGTGTAATATGTGTGGGGCTAATACTATACTAGTCAGCTGACTCCGAATGCAAGTCTGACCATCTAGAAAGAGGGGGAAGGAGGCTCATCAGTCAGATGTGCGTGCTCTGGGGAGACATCACTGCAGAAGGCAGCCCTGGAACTGGGAGGTAGTCCAGACCCAAGAAAGGACAAAGAAGGGACAGAGGCTAGGTTCTGGATTAACATCAGCCACCCCAGCCTACATCGGTCACACAGGAAGAGAAAGTATCCGAGGGAACAGAGTTTTGTTGTAAAGAGCACCCGTCCTCAGAGGTGATGAAGGAGAGGGAAGGTGAAGGGAGCCAGCATACTTGGTCTCGTTGGCACACCGGATCTTGCAGCCCTCCTTGGGAATCACCAAGCCCAGGTGCATCCGGAGCCTGCAGTTCGTGGGCCCCGTGTGCGGCCACACGTGAGTTCCTGGGTGCATGACGGAATACTTGATCTGTGCAGAAAACATAACACACGGTTCTTCATTTATCAAGGTGGGGGGCAGGGGAATTGCTAAATTAAAGTGACAGCACAAAATTACTGTCAATTTGGATTAGAGCCTTTGTAAGACTCAGAATTAATATTCTCCTCTTATTTCTTTGTGAAGGAACTAAAAATACTCCCATTTTCCGCAAAGCTATACACACCTAACATTTTTTTACCTTCCATTCTGACATCAACCACATGGAATAGTTTCATTAAAAGAGAGTGAAAAAGAGGCATTCGTTGGGCCAAAGGAAATAAACACTTCTTTGTAATCATTAGCATTCCCTCATTGCTGATAAGCAACTGTGTTTTTCCCAGCACTGAAAACACTCTTGGTACCTGTCCTCTTCTGCATCCTGTTGTCTCCGGGAATTTATCTAGTAAAGAGCAGGTTTTAGGAGCTCCTTTACAGGCATTTTCATTTTTTCTTCCTGGAACAACAAATGATAAAAGCGTCGTTAAGAACAGATCACAGTAAAGCTCTGACTCACCCTGTTTTGAGCACATGTGATCTAGACGGTCATCCTCACTGTGGGAGTGAGAAGGCTGCATACACACAAGAGGACAACGTGCTTTGCTCCGATAGATACTGACTTTCAGAGCAAGGGCTAGAATTCTCCACTCACTGGTGGATTATCTGACTAAGGATGTCTAATGGACAAGGCATGGGATGAATCCTTATTTTCCCCGTGATGGGCATAATAATGTCCCTGTCCCAAGGATGTCCACATTGTGAGCCCGGAAACCTATGGAAATGTTATGTTACATGGAAAGGGGAAATAAAAGTTGCAGAGGACACTGAGATTGCTCATCAGCTAACTTTAAAATATAGGGATTATCCTGGATTAAGTCAACGGGCCCAATGTAACCACAGGGTCCTTAAATGTGGGAGAGAAAGAAGATTCAAAGTCCAAGAGACAGGGAATGAGAAAGACTTCACTGGCTGTTGCTGACTCTGATGGTGGAAAGGGCTACAGGCCGAGGGATGTGGGCAGACTCCAAGCGGGAGCCTGCAGAAGGAACGCAGCCCTGATGCACTTTGATTCCAGCCCAGTGAGACCCACTGTGGACTTCTGACCTCCAGAACTCAAGATAATAAATTCGTGTTATTTTAAGCCACTAAGCTTATGGTAATTTGTTATGGCAGCCACAGTAAAAAAAAAAAAAAAAAAAAAAAAAA